TCAGCAAACTTGCTGAGGGTACACTCTGTCCCCTCATCCAGGTCATTGATGAATGAGTTGAACAAGACCGGGCCGAATACTGAGCCCTGGGGAACTCCACTAGCTACCGGCCTCCAGCTAGACTCCGTGCCACAGATCACAACCCTCTGAGCTCTGCCACGCAGCCAGTTCCCAATCCACCTCACTGTCCACTCCTCCAGCCCACACTTCCAGAGCTTCCCTATGAGGATGTCTCCAGTTTGTTGCTCACAGTTGTTTCCCGCTGCAAATGCAAAGCTGCTGGTTTGGGTACCCGGGGGTTGCTGGCTAATTCTTGCACAGAATGTAATGCTTAGCTACAAAGATGCAGCACCAGAGCTGCACCTTCAGTCTGCAATTAAACATTTTGACAAACGAGTGATAATTTCCAGGTGCACGTAATTCTGTGCTCAGACCGCATTTGGTGCTTTTGCAAATCACTTGGAAGATGGTGCATACAGAAGAGGGTTGAAAGAAGAATCGCTATCAAGGCTATAAATCCCAGATCACACTGTTCACCACAGAGCCATGTCTGGTTTCCTTGTGCTGCATTTTTCTGTGTCTTGTTGGTGTAAACTTCAGGAAATCTGAGGGAGACAAAGGCACAACCATGCTCAAAGGCCCAAGCCCACCCAGACGGATTGAGTTTCAGCCAGCAGGCTGAGGCAAGTGGCCATTCCCCCTGGCTTGATGTGGATGAGCCCACACCTGGAATACTGGATCCGGTTAGGGTAACCCAGTACAAGTAAGACATTGTCATACTGAACCTCAGCTGAGGCTGTCGAGGGAGGGAGCTGGAGCATAGGACAGGCTGAGGAAATCATGTTTGCTCACCTGGAGAAGAAAAGGCAAGCATGCAGTCTAACCTGCCGTCCTAAAGAGGGTTACAGAGAAGATGGAGCTGAGGTTTTCTCTGAGGTGCACCATGATGGGGCAAGAGGCAAGGAGCAAAAGCTGTGACAAGGGAAGGTCTGGTTGGACGTAAGGAATAACCTTCCCATGAGATGGGCACCAGAGAGCTGGGATCTCCAGTCTTGGAGATGGTCAACACTTGGTCAACATATCTCCAAACATCTCTTCCCACTTAAATTTTTCTACAGCTGATTCCATGCTGAAATAGCCAGGTGAAATAGCCGGACAAGCTGGTGGAGCACTGCTGAGCCCAGCTGAGCACACAGCTGCGGTCCGCAGCAGCCCTGGCAGTATTAGAAAGGTATTGATTCAAATGGCAAACACACAACAGGAAGGATCAGAGCTAACACACTCTGAGCAGGAAACAGTGGCCAGGGAGGGAGTGGGTATTTGCTGTCACCAGGATTTACTGTTTAAAGTCAATATTGGTAAATCAACCAGAAAGTTTTCTCATCTCTGCAAGACCAGGCTCTTGCAGGGTGGAAGGGCTTTTCATTGACTTCTGGTGGCCTCTGGCCCTAAGTTGCTGGCTCACTTCTTTCTGCTCAGGCTTAGCTATGACTTCACTTCTGCGAAGGACCAGAAAGCCCTCCTGGCTCGAAACATCACCCATGAGCAACAGCCTGCCACAAATCACGCCTGACTTTCTGCAAATGCAGGGCACCCTGTTTTATGAGAGCAATTTGAGAAGCGGGAAGCCAGGGTGCACAAAAATAACAACCTCTCTCCTCCTGTAAAGCTGGAAGCATGTTTCCTGGAAGGATATTGAAAGGTAACTGGCAGTGGACAGAGGAGAGTCTGGTCCTCTTGGATACGATGTCCTCTTCCCTTTCCTTTGCTGTCCTGTCATGGCCATCAGCCTTCAGGTGGCTCCCTACACTCTGCAGGACATGGGGACAGGACTTGTGGTCCTGAGCTGAGCTCACAGCAGCATGGTCAGCCCAGCCCAGTTGATGTTAAGAAACACCAAGCTGAATCCCACAAGTGGTGAGACAACTGTGGTGGTTGTACCCACTGCATATCACAGCATTC